GTCTAGGATGTCCTGATCCAGGCTAACCTCGTGAGAACTATTGTCTTTACCCCTCCCCTGGCTCTCAGCCTTCCACGGATATAGCCGCTTGGCCTTCAGCGTGATGGAGGGAGCCGCATCACCCAGGAAGGTTGTTTACCGGCCCTGCTGCAGCACAAGGTTTCCCAGCGGTCGGCTGATTTAGTTCCCTGCCTTCCCTGCCTGCGCCTGACGGTTCAACATTTCATTTCCTGGGTTTTCGTCTTCTGTCCTTTTCACCTCCAAGAAGCTAAACACTCCCACAGCTCTAGCGGCATCACAGAAAACTTTCCCTAAAACAACAGCAGTGAATGGAGCTGGGGCATTGATTCAGGGCCTGAAAGGTCTCTGGGGCGCCTGTCTACATCCTCGAACTCCACGGCTGAGCATCTGGAGGGCAGGAGACACGTCCTAGAGTGCTCGCGGTGAGGCTGGTGGAGAAGGCAGGTGGTAGCCGACACAGAAGGAAAACCAGGCACAGAGCCACATGGACAGCTTTCACCTCTGTGAATAGTGATGATGCGTCCACAGTTAAAACCACGTGGCTGCCACATCAGATTCATGATGGGTGAGAATAAAATGCGACCCCCCCCATACAGATATGTTAGCTATGAACACAAATAACCCAACAATTTACAAAAAGAAAGAAAAAACTACTGCTGATAGTACTGAATAGACTGATGCTTAAAACTGTTTTCTGAATTACTGGTTGGTAGGGAAGTAATATTAATTACATAATACGAAATAATTGGTGATCTTGGCTATGTAATTAAATAGCAGGCAGTTTAAGTTTTCAAAGGATTTTTATCAGCTTAGTGAAGGAAGCAGCCATGGATTACTACACCTATCCTGTAACAGAGCAAGGCTAGAAACTAAATCTACCAAACGACTCTCTGTATCGATCTTGTTAGGATTTATCCCTGGCCTGCTACCAAACGGAACTGACACAGAGACACTCTATAAAACACAGTTAAACATATTTAAACTGGCTTAAGTATTTTTTGGAGACAGAACATCTACGTCAAAAGGAAAACAATATCATGTAGACACCAATGCCAACAGACACACAGAAATGGGAAACGTTAAAAAAAAGACACAGTTTGTTCCCATTTAGTTGTCTGAGGAGAAAAGGGAGAAACGCCACAATGTGTGTCAACCTTGAACCTTCAAAAGCCAGCTTCAGAACTTCTCTCCAAAATCTTAGTTACTGTTGTTTGATTTTAGTTAGCAGTGTCATATTTGTTTCCGTCTCAAAATATTTAAATCACGTATTATTGAATTAGCATTCTCAGCTTTGGCTGTTCTACACACAGAGTTAACGATGCCAATCCCGTTCTAAGTGGGGAAACACTAAGGGAATGATTTAAGCCCTCTGTAAATTTTATTTGAAAATTAGCTAAGAGTACCTCATTCATAATTTCTAATTAAAATGGCTCTAACACCCACGTTCATTAGCCAGCCCCACCTGCCCCCTGCCACAGCCACCACCAGCCGCAGGAGGGAGATAGGCAGATACCCGGCTGCCGTGTCTATTCTGGGAAGCGAGGCCCAGGTGAGCCGCTGCCGCTCACAGCCAGGCGAGCTGCCAATCACTTCATCTGCCGCGGCTCCTCGCTCTCTCGCTCTGTGAACAAAATCTCCAAGGATTTCAGAGCAGTGCCTTTTTAAAACATCAGTTTGTGGAAAAAGGTCTGGAAAGTGTCCATTCAACTGACAAAAGATCAGAGCAACTTCTCCCTTGCCACTGAAGCTGTAACACCCTCAGTGCAGTTCAGTGGGCCAACCTCAACCGCACAGGGCCCACCCTACCCTGCGTGCTCCCTGAGACCTCAGCACCCACCTAACAGCCTGGGAGGAGAGTGGCACTAAAGCCACCTTGGGAGCATCTGCTGTGTGGTCCAAGGGGGCGAGGGGCCCTGCACCACCCAGAGCTGCCTCTAAGCCCAGTCAGGCCACAGCCACAAAGGCCCCCACTGCCCCCCATCCAGATACACATGAGAAGACATGCAAAACTATAGCAGGGCCACAGGGGACAGTAGGGACAGCGGCAGCCCCTGCGCTCTAGGCTCAGGACAGTCATCCTGTTCACCTGGGGGCTGGGGTCATGCACCAGGCAGGGACAGCTCTACAATGTAGGGTCCAAAATACCTGTGTCTGAGCCACATGGGAGCTCAGAGACAGCTGACAGGACTAATGGAGCCCTCGGGACCTTACCGGTGGGAGCAGACCCCAAAGCCCAACAGGCAGCCATGCATGCCCATAGCCCTCCTGGACAGCCTGGCCCCACAAACCTTGCGGGCCCTGGGGCCCCACTGACTAGCCCCTGGGTGCAGCACCCCTGAGAAGACCAGCAGCTTCTGGAGAGGGCACAGCAGCAGGGGCCCCGGCAGGTGGCGGTCAATGAGCCAGAGCCCTGCGCCCACGAGGGGAGGTGCCAGGATGAGCTGGGACTCTCCAGGAAGGTCCGTTCAGTCTCCTTGAGCCCACAGGGGTCTGAGTGTCCCTCAGATTGTGGTGGAGACATGCAGGAGAGCCCCCAGGCTTCCCCGCACTCTGGGGACACCCATCATAGTGCCCTGCCCCAAGATGCTGCATGTCTCTTATTACCACATGAATTGGCTGAGCTGCCGACAGACTAGGAGGGGCTGCCCAGGGCTCAGCTGCACTAACCGGCTCGCTCCGGGGCAGCCCTAGAGGCTGTGGAGCTGTAACATGTGCGCAGGGGCAGCTCCAAGCACTCCACAAGGGTCTGCTGCCAGAGCCTCAGTCCAAGGAGAGTAACCTGGCTGCAGAGACCCCTCTGGGCTTGGGGTCCTGCTAGCCCTTAGCAATGCTGCTGGCCCCAAAAGGACTGTGCAGACTGGCAGTGCCCAGGCCTGGTGAGACTAGTCTGAGCTACCCAATAGCCCCTCCTGGCTCCGTGGACACTCCCTAAAGCACCCAGGCGCTCCAGAGGCCATCACTGCACAGCAAAGGCCGTTGGCCCATCAACAAACCTAACTGTCCACAGACTGCAGCAGCCAGGCCGGGGCCCATCCACAACAAGCGGGACTGGGCAGGTACTCAACGTGGGAGCTTAGTGTGGGCACTGAACATCCTGTTGACACAGAGTAGCACAGAGCAGCCACAGCTCGGAGGCCTCGGGCAAGCATGAAGGGGCTCTGCCTGGATCACATAAAGCATTCCTGATGTCCCAGCCCGGAGTGGAGACTCCCCACACCCCATCCATGTGGGCAAGTCAGTGACTCAAGCCTGCTCTGACAACCCTGTGACCCTGAGCGTTCCACAGTCAGTGATGAACTCCTGATTGTTGATATGCTAAGTGGATTAATCACCCTCCTCCCAGAACTAAAAAAAAATCTTTTTTCATTGTTAATGATATTCTTTGATCAAAATTTAGAAAACTGATTTCTTAGTTAATGAAACTTACACGGTATTCACGAGCACCCACAAACAGCTACACCACCAGCAGTCCTGGTGGCCAGGGCTAAGTCCACCCGGTGCCTGTTGAGCCCCAGGGTCCCGAATTCCCTAGCGGTCTTGAGGTTCCAGAGAGAACAGTAAGAGCGCCCTCTGCTGGCCCTAGGCTGCGCACACCCTCTGCAAAGTCACGGCCAGACTCAGTGCCTGTAGCTTTCACAGACCCTTAGGAAAATGGCTTTTGGTGCTCATTTGTGGGCCCCTGTTCCTCCACGCAGTCCCCGCCCACTGTGCTGCATGCTCATTTTAGCGTGGGGGAGTGGAAGGAGGCCACCTGGGCTGGATGAAAGGTCACCCACACATGGTTCTTTCCAACCCAAATCTTTCTTTAAAAAGAAGGGATAGTTTAAAAGCTACCATCTCCCAGGCTAGGGTTTGCACGCTCTTGACTGGGTCTGGGGTCTGAGCTCAGGGTCGGGTTCACAGTCCAGGGCTTGGGTTCTGTGAGGGATGGTGCACGTGGTATCTGCTTTCTCGGTTTTGAGACATTGGAGAGAGTGCCAAGGCAGGAGATGGGATGACGATGCACAGCCAGGGACCGCCAGCTGGGGGCTGCCGTGACGAGCCTCGTGTCTCCCAATTACATGGTCCAGCTGTACTGAGCACAGCCGCCCTGTGGCCCACAGTCCCTGAGGACATGTGTACAGGACTCCCACTCTCAGGTCCTTTCCAGGCATCAAGCCCAGGTCTTCACTCCCAGCTCGCCTCCTTCCTGAAGTCCCACTGCAGCAGTGCTTGGTGCCACTGCGTGGCACTCTCTGCCCAGCACAACAGTCTCTGCAGCCCCGGATGTCACTGCATGGCTCCGCCCTGCCCCATCACCAGGGGCCCAAGGGGTAGGCACCTGTACTCCCCTTCAGCTCCATCAAGCAGCCTCTGGCCCTCTAACTCCATTCCCTCTCAGGTAGGTGCAGCACCTCCCTGTGGCCCCCTAGAACCTCAGGGGGCCAGTTCCTCCCTCTCAAACCAGACAACGAGCCTTCCATTCTGGGCCACCCAGAGCTCTCCCACAGTCTCTGCCTGGGCTTACCATGGTGCCTCTCTGGACAGGGTGCCTCACCTCCTGGCAACTCCTTAGAAGCCTCCACTGGGTTGGGGGGCACTGCCTGACTCTTTGTGGCTTCCCAGAGGCACTCTTCACACGTGGGGCACTGAGCACGTGTGCCGTCAGTTAGAACACATGACCAGACCACACTGACAGCCTGGAACATCACTGCACCACAGCAGTGACCCTGCACTCGTGGGAAGCCCTGGCTGGGGAGGCAGGTGCAGCTGGGCCCCCAGTGGTCCTGTCTCCTCCCTGCGGACGGCTCTGGGATCCTCGCTGCCCCTGCTGGCCAACCCACACCTCTCCTGCCCTGGACCCGTTCACTGCCCCACTAAGCGGTCTTGGTCTGGGGCTCCCAAGGTGAGAAGTCAGTTCTGAGTGAGAAAGGAGACAGAATCTCCTGAAGCCCCAGCTACTCATGCTGCTCAGCCCTGCGCTCAGACCCGCCACTCACCCTGAGCCTCTGCTCTCCCTCAGGTGCGATGTCCAGCTCCTTGTATTTTCTCAGCGCGAGCTCTAATTCCGTCTTCAGGTCAATGGCACGCTTTAAGTGTCCACCATGGGTCCCTGCGCGGGTAAACCGCTGAAAAACACAGGGTGGATTGCAAAAGCCTTAGGGAGCCCGTCCCTGCCAGGAGGCACATGGCTAGGTCTGTGGGCCTGTCAGGTGACTCTAAACACAGCTGGGACACAGACAAGGGGCTCAGACGAGGGACAGAGCCCTCCTGGGGCAGGGGGTGGTTTGGTCACCTGGACTCCTTGTGCCCTAGCAGTCACCCCAAGGAAGAGAGTCCCCTGCCAGGAACTTCCCACACATCTTCCTTCTACCCACAGGCGCCCACCTCCTTCAGTGCCCTCCTTCTGGCCAGGTGCCCAGCCTCACCTGGACCCAGGAGCACACAGATGGAAGAAACTTGTTCTGGACAAGCTTGAGCGCATCACGGGCAGCTTGGACGACGGCAAGGTTGTCTTCATTCTCCTGCACCTTCAGGCCGTCTGGGGTAAAGCACATGCAGGTCACCAGAGGGCCACAGGCCTGTGTTGCCCACAGACCTTCGTGAAGCAGACCATGCAGCAAAGGCCACGGCAGCCTGTGAGGACACCAGACACCCACCCCTGCCCCAGCCTGGGGTCCCACACCTGATGCTGTGAGAGAAAAGGCACCCTTTTGTGATGCTGGATAAGAACGTTCTAGCTCCCCAAGTACATGGCTCCATTGCCCACATCTCAAAACACCTGGGCTGAGGCCATCCCTCCCACCAAAGGTGTGAGACCCCTGATGGCCTTCTCCCCTTGACACCCCCACCCCTGCTGCTCACAGAACCCTCCCCTCCTTCTACCGTCCTCAGGATGGAGGCCCCACCCAGCCAGCCTCACCAGCCCTTCCCTGCTGGGCACCTCATCTCCTGCATGGCCTCTGCCATGTGCTTCCCGCACTACAGAGCTCACATGTCTGGCGCATGGCTATGCATCTACACAGGCCAGGCCACTCATAGGGGCTGATCACGCCATAAACACTGGTGTCGGGTCCAGCCCGTGCCAGCCTAAAGGGCACTCCTGCTACCCAATTCCTGCAGCACCTGCAGCCCTCAGAGCAAGCTGAGCCTTGCAGATCAAGTTCTCCTGGCAGCTTCAGGCCTAGCTGCCTCCACCCTGGTGAAGGGACACCTGTTGTGCCTGATTTCAGAGAAGCAGGTTCCCTGAAGACATCGATTTAAAGCCATGCTAGTATCTAATGAGCCCTCGACCCCTCCACATACCCCGCCATATGGAGCGGGGAGCACATGTCAGGAAGCTTGGGCCAAAGGGCATGGGGACAGCTGCATCTCAGCAAAGCCCCCTAGGCTGGAACACTGAGGCTGCATGTGGCCCTGACAGGCCTGTGACCTGCCCAGGGCTCACCAGTCATTCAGACCACATGCTGTAAGGACTGCACACAACAGGGACCTTGGGACCTGTCAGCCTAGAGAACCCTCCTCACCCCAACCTTGTGAGTCCCTCCCTCCTCTGCTCACAGACTCACCAGGGTAGGCACTGCTGGCAGAGAAGTCAGTGAGCTCTTAGAAGTGTCCCCCTGCAGACAGCCTGTGGCCACAGAGGCCTGGCGTGGTAGGAGGAAGGCCCCGTGCAGTGACCACACAGGAAGAAGGGACCTGATGGGAACCCCAACCCAGCTCCACTTGAGGAGCCACCACAGGTCCAAGGCTCTGTCTGCCGGAGACACCCTGGGCCAGGTGCCAGTGACAAACTTGCCAGCCAGTCAGCCCAGAGCTGGCAGAGGGAGGTGCTGAGCGGCCAGTTACCTGAGGAGAGCTCCACATCCAGTGTGTACTTGTGTGAGCCCAGACCATGGCTCCGCAAAAACTTTTCCTGGTCACTGTCCTCATCCTCGTCTTCCGAGGGGTCCCCTGTGGCTGCCTGCAGCAGCAGTGGCCTGCTGCCAGCCCCGTGGTGGCACGCAAAGGCAGGCAGGTCCTTGCTGCAGCAGGGTTGCTCGCCATCCCAGGGTGTGAGGGAGTCAGACTCGCAAGGGGTGGCTTGGCCCGGGTGCGAGGAGCGAGAGGCACCCTCATCGGACATGCCAGAAGCCATGTCAAGGAATTCCGCTGCTGCTGGGCTAGGGCCAAAGTCAAATGGCACCAGCAACCTGAAGCAGCTCTCCACTTCTGTCAGGCAGGACTCGATTTCTTCAGACATTTCTGCCAAAACATCAAGACATCTGCTTCCTGTGTCATACTGGGCAACAGAGCACCACCTCGCCCACAACCAAGCCCAGAGGCCTGCTGCCCCAGGGTCATTTCTCGGCATCAGGTGGGCTGGGGTCCTGCTTGCAACTCACACCCCTGGGGGCCTCCTTTCTTCCCAAGAACCAAAGCCAGTCCTGGGAGCATGTGTCACAGGACCTTTTTTTTTTTTTTTGAGACAGTCTCACTTTGTTGCCCAGGCTAGAGTGAGTGCCATGGCGTCAGCCTAGCTCACAGCAACCTCAATTTCAACCTACCTTTCTTTTTTTTCTTTTTTGAGACAAAGTCTCACTCTGTTGCCCTGGCTATAGTGCTGTGGTGCCAGCCGAGCTTTCAGCAACCTCAAACTCCTAGGCTCAAACAATCCTCCTGCTTCAGCCTCCCGAGTAGCTGGGACTACAGGCATGTGCCACCATGCCCAGCTAATTTTTTCTATATGTATTAGTCGGCCAATTAATTTCTTTCTATTTATAGTAAAAATGGGGTCTCACTCTTGCTCAGGCTGGCTTCGAACTCCTGACCTCGAGCAATCCGCCCGCCTCGGCCTCCCAGAGTGCTAAGATTACAGGCGTGAGCCACCACGCTCGGCCACAGGACCTTTTTAACTGCTCAACAAACCACCATGCTTAGCATTGGGGTTTGCAAGGTCAGCCTCTCAGACACCTCCAAGTAACAACCCTCAGGTCTGGACTATGCTGTATCGAGGGCATGTGCAAAGCTACACTCTCTTTCTGGGGCAAAAAAAAATGCTGCATGCATCCCCCACCTCCCTGAAGCTGGCACAGTTCTCCCTCCTGGTGAACTCCTTGTCATCCCTGAGGCACAAGCTGGCTCCCTTTTGGGCTTCTCCAAGTCCTGAGAGTCCCAGAAGTGGCCTCTGGAAGGGACCACACCCAGGAAAAAAGGGTCTGTCTACAGGAAGCTCTGGGCACAGGAATAACCCCCAAGACCCACAGTCTGAGGATGCAGAGTAGCCACCTCAGCCCATCACAGGAGATGTCCTGCTGGGCAATGGCAGCCTCTGGCTGGCTTCCACCTTTGAATGCCTGGGCCATGCCCCTCATGAGAAAGGCCGGCTGCCAGGAAGTAAATGGTGGAGTTTCCCGGGAAGCAGGCTGGCAAACAGGGACCATGAGAAGAATGGCGAGAGGGCCTTCAGTGAGGCTGCGAAGCACAGACCACCTGCGGCTCTAACACCTCCAGTCACCCCTCGACCCGCCGGCAGGCCATGGCTGGACACACACTGTGCCCCGAGAGTGTCCAGGGATCCTCCCAGCAAACGGCGTAGTGAGCATGGCCACCAGGGGGCGCAGGACAGGCATGGATGCTGCAGAGGACTCCAGCCAGAATCCCTGGAACAGGGTGGGGTCTGTGGCTGGGAAGGCCTCCCCTAGCCCTCAACCCCAAGTGTCTCTGCCTGGCCTGTCTGAACACCTGGGTCCCCAGCGACCAAGGGCATGAGGCAGCCCCAAGGAGGCACGAGGGCCCCTTGCTCAGTCCTGGAAACTTGCCTTCCATCTCTCTCTCTGCCTGCTGGGCTCTTTCCTTATAGATTTTATCCAAGTGCTTCTGCTTCTCCTCTTCTCTCCTTCTTTCTGCTAGAGTCCTGGCACTCACATCTTGAAAATCCACCTGAAAAATTGAAAATAAAGATTACAATTGTCTATAAAGAACACAAAGAAAGCAGTAAGTCAAAAATAGGTCTAATAAAAGATACACGAGCCAGGATTAGTACATGGCCAGAATCTCCACAGGCTTCTCAGTTCATAGTGTATGAAAACAAAAAGAAACATACCTAACTCTGCTATCTAATCCCCGGAAAGCCAGCACATTTGCTAACTTAAAAGAGATTAAAAAGACTTCTCCCCCAAGTCTGATGCAGGCAGGAAAGCAGTCAACTTGCCTGATGCGCAGACCAGGTTCTGCTGACTAGATGCGAGGTCTGAAGACACCACCCGAGAGTGCACCCCAGAGGGAGAGGGGCAGTCCCTGGGCCTCACAGTGAAGGATGGGCTGAAGCTCTACGGCAGGCAGGGGTCTGGGTTCAGGCCACAGCAGCAGATGCTAGCAGGTTTTGTCGTGCCCAGCACCAGCCAGAGCCCACAGCAGAATCCAGGTGGAGACTTACAGCAAAGCTGGGACAGACCCCAGAGCCCCAAGGTCCACCATCACAGGAAAAGGCTATGAGAAGATGTGTTTTGCTTTTACTTTTTATCTTATACATGTAGGTCTCCAGGCTCAGCTGTGTCCACACATGGGGTGAGCTCACACTATTCCTCTCAGCACTGAGAGGCCCTGACCCCAGCTGCTGGTTACTCTCATCCACCTCCACACCTCAACAGCTGGTCCAGCAGCCTAGATGCCCAGGGAAAGCCAAGCAGGCCCAATATGCATCCTATACCCAGGGTCAACAGGAAGAGCATTCTCTCCCTCTCTGGTCTACCATCCTCACAGCAGGCAACTGGAGTCTCTAATTAACAATGGGCAAGGCTCACCTACCTTTTTGTTGTGTTTTAAGAAGTGGTAGCCCAAAGCGAGCTTCTTATAGGCCTCCCCGAACTTCTCATTCCACACTTTTACTGCCTGGATGGCTGCCTGCCTCAGCCTCTGGGCCACCTCCCTGGGTGGTGGCAGGGGCTGCTCGTGGTCTGTGCCCAGTGTGAGCTCCAAAAACTCCTGGAAGTCAGAGACAACCAGCATCCTGAACTGGTGAGACCTGGTGAAGAGTTCATCCACGACCTGGAAGGCTGAGAGGCGGACCTGGGCGTGCTCCTGGCTCAGCTGCGCCATCAGCAGGTGGTAGGCATGGCCTAGCAGCTCCTCTGAAGACCTGGGGACACAAACTGGCCTGACCCAAGCACACATGCTTGAAGGACAGTTAATAAACACTCTTCATGCAGGGGCAAAACATTCACGTGTGGCAGACACAGCAGCCACCTCCCAAGCTTCATTCTCGCCTCCTAGAGCAGGGTCCAAAAACTTCTACCCAAAGGCCAAACCTGGCTCCCTCATCCTCCGCATGTTTTTATAAGGCCCACAAGCCCACACTGTTTTCTGTATTTTTAAATGGTTGAAATATATAAACAATATTTCATGAAGCATAAAGATTATATAAAATTCAAATGTTAGTGCTCATCAATAAAGTTTCATTGGAACACCACCCACCCATGCAGTTAGGATGTCTCTGGCTGCTTCCACAGTCGAGACCTTATGGTGAAGCCTAAAACAGTCACCATCTGGCCCATCCAGAAAGTTTGCTGCCCTACACACACACACACACACACACACACATACACACCACTGCTGAACTGGGCGTGTGACCTTGAAGCCCTTCCTGCAGGAAGTAAAAGGGAAAAGCCCTGAGAGCCCTTGGGAGATCCTCTTCCCAGCTACTACCTGTGTAAACCACAATGATCTGGGGGTTTTTCGGGGCATGCTGCAAAACCTGACCTGAACTGGAATTTTTTTTTTGAAATATAAACACTTTATCATTTAATAAACAATCTTACATTCTCCTGTTTTGTAAATACAGGATACAGTATAATCAGTAATGCCACACACCACCCACCATCCTAGGACTACTGGCCCAGAATGTGACTGCCCATCAGAGCTGGACACTGCAAGGTCCTGGGAAGGCGTCCCAGCTCTGCTCCTTTGGTGGTTCTTTCCCAGGGGATGGCTGAGATGGATGTAGAAGCCCCACAACCTCCCAGGTGTGTCAAGGGCTCACTGGGCCAGTAAGCTACTATGAATTGCTAAACCTTAAGACATACTTGCAAATTTTCTTCAGTTCCTTCATTTTCTCAGGATTCAGTTGGGGTTCTCCTGAAGTTGTGAGCTCTTCTACCAACTTTGAAAGTTTCTGATCCATATCTAGAAGTACATAACACAGAAGTGCTAAGTTACCATCTGGTACCTTACAGTTCTTGGTTTTATTAACAAATGTTTGCTGAGCTCCACTATGTACTGGGCACTCAGGGAGGGGCCCTGATGCTGGCATCCTTATGCCCATACTTCTGTGGGGTGATTTCCCGGGAAATAAAACAATTCCAGGTAATATTCCGGGATTCCAACAAGGTCTTTTGTTTGTAATTAGCAAAAGTTCTTTTAAAATGAAACTTTAATTCCGGACCTCTACAATCACACAAGTGCAAAAGATGCTACAGTGAAGGTGTGCTTGGCATTTGACAATGCACATAAATGTGTCACATTTAAATTAGCTGTTCCCAAACTAGACTGTGGCACAGCTTCCCTCGTTCACTCGCATCCCACAGCACAGCCTCGATAAAGGCCGCCAAGGACAGGAGCCATGGATCGTGAGGGAACCAGTGAAAAGCACACCCGGGGCCCACCTGGAGCCGGGTGCGCACTCCCAGGGGCGGGGCAGCCGCAGGCGCCCAGCTGATCAGCACGTCGGGTGAGCCTCGTGGGAAAAAGCCGGATGGCGCGGGGGGCGAGCCCAGGCAGGCCCGCAGCTCGCCACGAACCGAGGCGGGAGGCCTGGGGCCGGCTGCCGAGTACAGTGCTGCTCGGAGCAACGAGCCCCTAGAGGCCGCACAGCGCGAGGCGGGCTGGGTCTGCGCCGGCGACTCCGCGGAGAAAACGCCGCGCGTCGGGTCGGAGTCAGCCCCGGCGGACGCCGCGGCCACACAGCGGCCAGCAGAACCGCAGAAGGCCCGACCCTCGCCAGGCAGCAGCCCCCCGGCCCGCACGGGCGCCCAATGGGCGGAGCTCGACGCACTTACCGCGCTACGAGGCCGCTCCCGTCCTCACCCCACCCCTTCCGGCAGAGGCCGCGCCCTCCTCCCATGTGCCCAAGAGCTCTGTAGCCATTGGCTGGCTTTGGTCCAGACAGCGCAGGCGGAGGTGAGCGCGGCGCGGCCGCTCTCGCCGTCGCCCCGCCTTTTCCGGCGAAGGCCCCCACCCGCGACCTTCCAGTCGCGAGCCCCGAACTCGACGGCCAATGGTTCACCCTCGCCAGGGCGGCGCAGGCGCGAAGGCATGTCTGAGGTCTGCGCGGTGACGCAAGCCCGTTCCTGGCGGGGGCGGGGCGGCCTGCGAAGGAGACGCGCGAGAAAAAAGAGGCGGGAGGGCGCAGCAAGTCCTTAAAGGGGCTGTGTACGCGGATGCCGGGGGTGGGGCGGGCTTTGAGCGCACAAGCGTGACGCCTCAGCCAGGGCGCCCAGCCGGGAAACTGAGGCTCAAACGGAAGTTTCGGTCCTCGCCTGGATGCCTCCGCCACCTGGAGGCTCACGGACCCTGGGCCCACTGCGACGGGTAGGCAAGGACCACCCAGCTGGGATCCTTGGGGCGCCGAGGGTCCCACCCCGCCCGGCACGGGCGTCCCCGCTGCCGGGGGGTAGGGGAAGAAGGGGAGGCCACAGCAGGGGTGAGGAGGCCGCCGGGTGGGGGCGGTGCGGATGGGAGGTTTCCGAGGCGCTGGGGAAGGGAAAAGGCTGCCTAGGCGGGGGCGGAGGGGGGATTACCAAGGCCAGGTGGGCTCAGCCCGGATGGTCCTGTGGGCCGGGGCCGGGGCGGTGCAGGGCTGGGGAGCCCGGGGGTGCTCGCTGGTCGCCCTCGGCCGGCATGTCGGTGTGGGAGGCCAGGCTGGTGCCGGCTCCAAGCGGACCCTGCACAGCCTCGGGGCCCTGCCCCGGCCTCCTTCAGCACAACCCCGGGTCCCCTGCACCTGCAAGGCCTCCCTCCCGCACAGGCCTGGCTCCCCTGCGCAGCCCCGGCCTCTCCCGGGTCCCTGCATGCCCCAGGCCTGCCCCAGCCCAGCCCCAGGTCCCCTGCATCTCCCCGCCGCCCCCCTCTCACCGCACAGCCCCGGGTCCCCTGCACACCCCTGGGGCCCAGACTGGGGGTCCAGCCGCCATCCACAGCTATAGCCAGACCTGCCCCGTGCATCCGGGGTTGCCCTTGGCTCCTCCTGCTTTCGGGCCCCCAGGGCCTCTGGGTGACCACCTCTGTGGCCTTCTCTCACGGCAGGAGGGCCTTTGCACTGGCAGCACTACCACCTGCATGCAGCCCCAGCCTGTTCCTTGGGTCCCAGGAAGGCCTGCGGGCTCTCCATGGGCTCCTCAGTGCCCAGCTCGGTGCCCCGTAAGCAGAGTGGACGTTATCTTGGGTAGGATAGCATCAGAGCAGAACAGGATAAAAAAGATAAAGACGTCTGCCCACAGAAAACTTCGTGCACTGCTGGGCTTGGTGGCTCACTAAACCTGTAATCCCAGCACTTTGGGGAGTCGAGGAGGGAGGATCAGCTTGAGGCCAGGAGTTCGACACCAGCTTGGGCAGCAGAGTGAGACCCCCATGTCTACAAAAAAACAAACAGCCAGGCATGGTAGCTCACACCTGTAGTCCCAGCTGCTTGGGAGGCTTGAGCCCAGGAGTCTGGGGCTGCAGTGAGGTCTCGATCACAATGCTGCACTTCATCCTGGGTGACAGAGACAGACCCTGTCTCAAACAAAAACAAAAATTTTGTGCCCCAATGTTCATAGCAGCACTATTCATAATAACAAGAGGTGGAAACACACAGATGATCTGTCTGTCAGCAGATGAATGATAACCAAAAGGTGATCCATCCTTACATGACATAGTATTCAACCTTAAAAGGGAATGCAGTACGATACATGCTGCCGTGTAGATGAACCTTGAAAGTGTGAAATAATCCAGTTACAGAAGACCACATAGTGTAGGATTCCATTCATACAAAATGTCCTGAAGCGCACACATAGATATGGAAAGTCCATGTCTTTGGCTGGGGGGACTGACTTCTAATGGGTAAGGGTTGGTTTTTTTGTTTTGTTTTGTTTGGAGTGATAAACATGTTGTGGAAGTAGATCTGGACAACCTTGCACAACCTTGTTATTAGTAGTATGCTAAACCCCATCAATAATATTCCATTCTTTGGATACCACATTTTGTTTATCAGTTTATCTGTTGGTGAACATTTGGGTGGTTTCTACCTTTTGGCTGTTGTGAGTGATCCTGCTGTGAACGTTTGTGTGCAGATATTTGTTTCAATACCTATTTTCAGTTCTTTGGGTACATACCCAGGCATGGAATTGCTGTGTTTGTTTTTTAAGCCCTAGCAAGTATCTCCCCTTCACCCCCAATCAGAGACCAGGAAAATTAGGAATATTTTATATTTGAAAGGGACCTATTTGAATCTGGAACCCTTAATCTTGGTTTTCTAAGGACAGACATCAGTGAAATACTTTGTCATTTATCATATTAATATGTTCATTTTGTGAGTAGCAATTAGCACTCAATTTAAAATTACCTTCCTTTAAAAGTGACCGAGTTTGCAGTACCCAGTGAGACATACATTGACAGTCAGCTGTGGCCTCCAGAAGGTTATTTCATCCTTTTGAGCCTTGCTTTTCTCTTCTGTCCACAGTGAGGATAATAAAATATACCTCACAGGATTTCTGTGCACCCCTACCTTTCTTTTTTTTCTTTTCTTTCTTTTTTTTTTTTTTTTTTTTTGAGACAGAATCTCACTCTGTTGCCCTGGCTAGAGTGCTATGGCGCCAGCCGAGCTTTCAGCAACCTCAAACTCCTGGGCTCAAGCAATCCTCCTGCCTCAGCCTCCCAAGTAGCTTGGGACTACAGGCAGGCGCCACCATGCCCAGCTAATTTTTTCTATATATTTTTAGTTGTCCAGCTAATTTCTTTCTTTTTTTTTTAAGTAGAGACGAGGTCTCACTCTTGCTCAGGCTGGTCTCAAACACCTGAGCTCAAACTAGCCACCCACCTTAGCTTCCCAGAGTGCTAGGATTATAGGCGTGAGCCACCGTGCCCAGCCCACCCCTACCTTTCTTAATACAGAAAAAGATTTTGCCTTGAAGCCAATCCACCCTTTGACTCCTCTTCTAAGCATCACATAGTATATTTTATTTCACAAATTTGGTATTCAGAAAAATAATTTGAAAGTGAGAAAATTCTATGCAATTATTGTTATTAAATGACTTGTAAACAATGTCTTCTGTTCATACTTTGCTACATTTAATCTTCTAGGTTTTTAGATCTGAGTTTGGAGCTGACAGTAGTTCTGGGTTGCTAACTTTTTAACATTCTGGGTCAGGCTAATATTCTTATGAAAAGAATTTCTGCATTTCTCAAAGAACTGAGTCTGAAGCAGAAATAAATTCCAGTGACCAAGTATCCAAATGGGCTGTTTAATGAAACCTAATAATTTAAAACAAAACAGAGCAAAACCCATAGAGTTGTATAGTTTTGAAGGGTGGATTTCATGGTATGTGAATTATGTCTCAATAAAGCAATTATTTAAAAATGAAAATAAAAAGTGATAAATACCCACTCCCAGACTGTCCATTCCCACAGGGAATCTGGCCGTATTTCTGTCCTGTGCTGCCCCCTCTGCAGCTGTGTGTCCTCACTCACAGCCACGGCCAGGCCCTCCCCCTCACTGCACTGGACTCTGGCCAGCTCCTTGCTTGCAGCAGCCACAGCCACACAGGCTGACTCCTCTCCCTGAACCCCACAAACGTGCCTGGCCATCCCCTCACCCCTCCCTTGCCCTGCCTCCTGCTTCACTGAAACAAATGGGGCTGCGTGTCTACGGACTACCCCAGCACCCCTACCCCTTCGCCCAGTCCCAGGCCCCATGGCCTGCTTCAAGGCAGTCATCCAGCACTCCTCTGTCCCCTACAGTGTGATTTTGTCTTGCCTGGCTACTAGATTGTTCTCATCAGCATAAAAGAGTTGTTTCTCGTATCCTAACAAAACCTTCTCTTTATCAGACTTCTCTCACCATTTCTTTGTTCCCTGTTCAGCAGAATTCCCAGAGGTCTGTCCAGTTATTCTGCGCCTCATTTCCTCCTCCGCCTGTGCCTTCCCAATCACCAGTAATGGCTGGGTTGCTAAATCCAGTCTCCCCTGTGACGCTGCCTGGGGGGTGTCCTGATGGTCTCGGGCTCCACAGGACCACACCTGAGCTGTCTGCCCACTGCCCTCTGTTGGTGGCTGGGCACACATCCTTCTGTTCACTCAGGCAGTGACCTGACTCCTTTCTTCCTTTCATCCCATGTCCCTCCCGTTTGTAAATCTGCATAGTCCTGCTACCCTCAGAATATATCCAGATCTGAGCACGTCCCACCACCTCATGCCAGGTCCCAGCAAGCACCCCTGGAGGTCACTTGCAGTCACCACTTATCTCTACATTTCTGCCCTGACATCCATGATACAGCAATCGGAGTGACCTTAGAAAGGCTGTCAGACCACATGCTTCCCTCATGCAGAGTCCTCCGATGGCTCCTATCCCAGAGGGAAAGCAGGAGGCATCCTGGTCTGTGCCTGCTGCCCCTGCCCACTTCCCTGAGCTGCCCTCCCCTGCCTTGCTCCAGCTGCCCGATGCCTCTGTGAAGCTCATTCCTCTGTGGATGTTTCTTCCCCCAGTACCTGCAGGGTTCCCTCACCTCCTTCCAGCCCTGAACACTTCTGCAGCCTTGCACCCCCCTTACTATAACACCCCCTCACTCCATTTTCTTAACCTGTTACTTTTCCCCACAGCACTTATTTATTAGTTCATTGGGGTTCCCCCCGTTGTCCACCATTAGAACATATGCTCCATAAGGACAAGGATCTTTGTTTTGTTTCATGATGTCAGACACACAGTAGATGCTCAATATTTGTTGAATGTTGAATGCAAAAATTATAAAGCCAAGATAAGTCATGGTGAGAG